ATGTAATGACACCACTCAAAATTGTACATAGTAAATGGTTTTAAATTGTATATAATCGAAAAATGACAAATCGTGAAAAGGAAAAATTTTACGTTGAGAACTTGAAAACTTAAAAATCAAAAAATTGCAAAATTGTAAAGTTAAAACTTGAAAAATCAAAAGATTGGAATTAAAAACTGCAAAATTATCAAATAAATTATCAAATAAAATATTTAAAAGTTGAAAAATTTAAAAACTAAAAGAAAATGATAAGTGGAATTTCAAATTCGATTTTATAAGATTTGTTTTTTTTTCAATTTTTCGATATTTCAGTTTATGATTTTCCGATTATACAGTTGCACAATTTTCCGATTTCTCATTTATCCGATTTTTCAATTTGTGATTTTTTTATTTTTAGCAAGTACCTACTGCCCCGCCCACCCACCTTTTATTTTCTTAGAAGAGTGGATCATCTGCCAAAATCAGTCTTATCTTGACAAGTACTAAAGCCAAAGATTAGTTCCCACCCATACCCGCCTCGATCTTAATTCTCAATCATGATGAATTTTTCATTCGTCGGCAGATCATTTGCCAAAATCAGTCTTATCGTAGCGAGTACTGCTACATTTTTCAGTTTTTCGTTTTTTCTACTTTGGAATTTTTCAATTTCTCGCCTTTTAAATTTTCAATTTTTTGATCTTTCTTCCGATTTTTGATTTCTCTGGGCAGCTGAAAAAAACTTTCAATTTTTTGTACAATTTTCCGATTTCTCATTTATCCGATTTTTCAAATTGTCATTTTTTGATTTTTAAATTTTTTATTTTTAGCAAGTACTAGTCCCGCCCACCCCCCTCACTTCTTTAGAGGATATGTCATTTACCAAAATCGGTCTTACACTCAAACACAAAAAAAGAGAGGGTGGGTGGGGCTAGTACCTTTTAAGAAAAAACTGATTTTGGCAAATGACATACTTTCTAAAAAAAGAGAGGGTGGACGGGTGGGGCTAGTACCTGATAAGATAAAACTGATTTTGGCCAATGACATACCTTCTAAAAAAAGACAGGGTGGGTGGGTGGGGCTAGCACCTGATAAGATAAAACTGATTTTGGCAGATGACATACCTTCTATGAACACAGAGGGAGGGTGGGTGGGGCTAGTACCTACTACGATTAAACTGATTTTGGCAAAGCCGCCCTTTATTTTCTTAGAGGATATGTCAATTGACTCATTTTGACTAATGATTTACATTTCAAAGAAAAGATACTAGCCCCGCCCACCCACTCTTGATTTTCTTAGAAGAATAAGTCATCTGCCAAAATCAGTCTTATCTTAACAAATATTAGCCCCCCCCCCCCACCCACCCTGTATTTTCATACAGGATATGTCATCTGCCAAAATCAGTCTTATCTTGACAAGATAACACTGATTTTGGCAGATGACCTACTCTACTAAGAAAATAAGGATGGGTGGGCGGGGCTAGTATCTTTTCTTAGAAGAGTAGGTCATTTGTCAAAATGAGTCTTATTTTAATCTCATAAAATCGAATTCGAAATTCCAGTTTTCATTTTTTTTTAGTTTTTAAATTTTTCAACTTTGAATATTTCTTTTGATAATTTGTTTGACAGTTTTGCAGTTTTTAATTCCAATCTTTTGATTTTTCACGTTATAACTTTCCAATTTTGGAATTTTTTGATTTTTAATTTTTCAAGTTCTCAAGTTAAAATTTTATTTTCGGATTATACAGTTTTACAATTTTACAATTCCTCATTTATCCGATTTTTCAATGTAATTTTTTTATTTTTAGCAAGTACTAGCCCCACGCACCCAGCCTTTATTTTCTTAGAAGAATAAGTCACTTGCCAAAATCAGTCTCTTCTTGACAAGTACTAGCCCCACCCACCCACCCTTTATTTTCTTAGAAGAGTGGGTCATCTGCCAAAATCAGTCTTATCTTGAGAAGTAGTTTATGAAGCCGTGTTGAGTTTTTATCGAAACGTCCAGATTTTTGGGAAAAGAATCAAAATTATAAAACAACATTTTACAATTTAATTTTAAATCTGCAAAACCGAATGCTTTTAAATTTTGTAGATGTTTTAAAATTATGATAAGCATAATAACTTTTAAATCAAAAAACATATGTGCTTCTCCCTCCAAAAAATGATGACGTCAGCTCAAAATTTTGCCGAATAAATCCTGTCCAGATTGTACAAAATATGACGAGTCTACACTTCTGAGCTATCATTCCGTTCACATTTTTTGGATTTGCTTATACAGGATGACTCAAAAAAATCAATGAATGCGTGAATTTATTTTGTTGATTTAATAACTGCAAAACCGAATGCTTCGAAATCTTGGAAATGTTTTAAAGTTATCATAAGCATGGAAACTTTTTGATCAAAATATATTTGCTCATCCCCCTTAAAAAATTGATGACGTCACCGTGGTGACCGAATTTGAATTAAAATTTCGCGGCGTGAAATCACGTTTGAATAATTTGCATTTGAAAAAATTCAATCAAGAAAAATCGTTAAACATAGGCAACACGTGCACGTTTAGTTCTTTTCTGATAGGTGGTAGATCCTAGGGATTTTCTTGGTAGTTTCTAGTGGGAGGGTGGGTAGAAGATGGCCTACTTGGATGCGATGAGTCACTTTTGGTTTGTTTGGTGTGAGTAAAACCACGTGGAGAGTTTGCTAGGTTAAGTTTGGTTGGTTCGGTAGTTAATAAAAAGGGGAAGTCTTTGTTTAACGACAATTAATCGTAACGGCGACGACGTCACAGTTTTCTCAACACGCGTAGCTAATTTTTGTGGCTCCCGAAGTGGAAATATGCGAATTTTGGACGGACCACAGTTCATGTTAGGATTTTAATACTTAACTAGTTCTAACACAATTTAACAGTCAGGAATTTGTTTAGATCAAGCATTTGGTTGGAGATTGCATGAGATTCACTTACTCAGGACTCGTCCTTTGTTTATAAAGTTATGAATAAGGCTTCTGGATGCTTATACTCAAGTGTTACATTATAACGCTTCTTAATTCTACACACAAATTTGCTCATCGTTCATTTACGGCAGTTAAATCAACCTAAAGTTGTCCCACTCGGGAAAAGGGACCGTGAAAGTACGGTAGAATTCATAATATCGTGAACTGAGGTACGGGGGATTAAAAAATTTGTCCCCTTAGGCAGTCATTATCACCATATCATCATCACATCACGGAGACATTTTCTCGCAACGTGGAAAATTACATCACCGAGAAGTTTTTCTCGCAACGCCGAATACATTTTTTGTTGTTTATTTATCATATGCTTTGTTTGGGTTAAGCTGGGGACAATCCACGATATAAACTCTCAAAGCTAATGGTTTTAAGTAACCAGTCACTTGGATCAAGGCATCATTTAACATAATGTAAATTTTTTGTTTGAATCGTTGATCAAGTGTGGCATAATTTAACATCAGGTAAATTCTTTGTTCTGGAAAGAACTTTCGACCAATTTTTTCTTCAAACCTAACATCTTTTTCGGATGGTAAATTTACTGTCTAAAAAACAGGTTACAACTTTAATTTTGAAATAGTATTTTACATTATAAAATTTGTAAAATAAACAATCAACATGTTTTCATAAAAAATGTATTTTATTAACGGGAAAAACCCCTTTACATGAAAACCATCTAAAAATAATGTAGGTCTGTGATCTTTTCAGTATAATAGCACAAATGATCATAAACTAAAACTAAAGCTAAATACAATTGAAGTGGAAATTTGCTTGTTTCATTATTCCGGCGATTGAGATGCAAATCTAGTTTCATATTTACCAGTTAAATAACAAAAAAGCAAATTTTTAAACTTTGTGTTTCTATTTCAAGGATGATACAGTTTCGTCTCGAAGGTAATAATTTTTTTATGAGTGGTACTGATAGGAAGCCCATTAAGAAGAGAATAAAATTGCTTTGTAGTTGTTATATTCAATTTATTAATGAAGTGTTTTCTGAAAGCATCCCGACTTATTTCAACCAGAAGAGGCACGCGTGGATGATTTTTGATTCTTTGTAGGATGTTATCAGGGAGGCTTCTACGTTTTGAAAGTATGGACATTAGTTTGTGCAGACCGGGACACGCAAAATAATCTAAAAGATGGTTATTATTAGAATGGTTATTATTAGAATCCCAAAATTTTTCGGCAATTATATCTACATTGGAAATAACGTCACAAATAAAATACAATATGGTATTTCTGAAATAAACAGATACAGGAGCAGCATCAATGTCGAGGTGTAAAAGAAGTCTGAATAACTCACAGTAACCATATCTTTCAAAAACAGCATCAAAAAGTTTGCTATTAATTTTCAGACCGTACAATATTAAGTAAATAAATAACTCTGTTGTTGCAGATTCATTGTTGGTTTTACATATACAACGAAAAAGTTCGTGATTTTCCAGAATACTAATAAATTCCACAACACATTGACTTATCGTTTGACTTTTTTCGAGAAGCAAAAGTAATTTTTTTAATGTTAGATTTGCGCTGAAGAACCGTTCATAATAGTATTTTCTGTAAATACAAGATCGCGGCCACGGCGTAGACTTATAAAAGACGAGTTTTTCAAAAATTTCGCAAACCATTGGACAGAGCTGTTCAAAGTACTCAAAAAAAGTACTTGAAGTACCAAGTACAAAGTACTACTTGAAATAGTGTTCAAGTAAAGTACCAAGTACTTACTTGCAGCAAGAGTATTTCAAGTATCAAGTACTTTTCAGATGTACTTGAAGTACAAGCCAAGTACATTACTTCAAGTACTTACGAGTACTTGAAGTACTGGAGGTATACTTCAAGTACTTACAAATACTTGAAGTACTGAAAATGCTTCAAGTACTTTCTAATTATTTGAAATACTGTAGAATTAGATAACTTTTCCTGTTTTTTTAAAAAAGCTTAATAAATTAAATTTAAGTATACAATAATACATATTTCGCCACATAAAAAATTGCATAAGCATCAACTTAAATGCAGAATGGTAGCTCACTTATTAATAATACTAATATCCGTTTGCAAAACTCCCGCACTGTCAGTGTCAGATTTGGAAAAAATGACCTGAGTGTACTCAGTGGTGAGATGTGAAAAACCTGTACAATATGTTGCTAAATTGCAATTTAGTGACAAATTAGTAACTAAAAATAACTTGTCAAATAAAAATGTCAAAAGCACATTAACTGAAGATTTTTATCAATTCAAGTAAAGGAAGAGTATGACACACGAACGACAACGAAAGCTTTTTTTGAATCTATACTTATATAATAAAGCTGAAGCTGTTGTTTATTTGAACACGCTAATCTCAGAAACTACTGGTTCAAATTCAAAAAATCTTTTTGTGTTGGATAGTCCATGTATCATATCTACATATAGGCTATATAAAATCACGCTACGATCATTAGGAGCGAAGTAGCAATGAAAAATTCGGAAAAACGGGAAAATTATTCCTCCTTTGACAGCTTCTGTTGCTTACGCTGCTTAAACGGTTAAAGTTACGTAAAAATCATGTATGACGAAATTGTTCCCCTCTAAAAGTTCTAAAGAAAAGTCCGCGACAGCATATGTCTATCTTTTAAGGTCGAGTCAGTATAGCCTTTTTTATGGTAATGAAATTTGTTCTAAAATAATAATGCATTATGTATAAAATTCTCGCGTCACAATGTTTGTAACCGAACTTCTCCGAAATGAGTAGACCGATTTGTATGAAATTTTTTATGTCTATTCGGTAGGTCTGACAATAGGTTGTAAACTATTTTTTAAACCCCTAAGTGATAAGGGTGGCCCACCCTAAAAAATTTTTGTCTATTTTTTTGACAATTTTTTTTATTTTTATATTTCTAAGATTTGGCATCAAAAAATACACATAACCCTAAATTTTCACCTTTCTACCACCAACCCCCATTTATTAGTCATCTATAAAATAAAAATCAATTGCTGTTCCTATTAGTCTCGCTAAGACTCAAAAACGGCTTGACCGATTTGAAGAAATTTTTATATTACGGGGATTGTTTATAAATTAAAAAAATAGGGGAAACTTAAAAGAACAGCTAAAAAATCAAAAAATCCTAAAAATTTTGTATGGGAATCGCCACTTCAAATTAATTTCAATGGTTGTCGTCTAACTGAAGTGTCACACAAAACTAATTCTATCGTGCGATTGTGAAAAGTATATTGCATTTCAAATCGTTCTTTGTTTTTTCGCAAAAAAACGGATATGGAAGTTGATCAGCGTTGTGCTCATAATCAACATAATAGTCAAACATTGAAGCGAGATATTGGGTGGTATGAATAAAACTGAGTAGATACTTATATTCGAAGTACGAAGTACCTACTTCATTATTACTCTTATATACCTGAACATCTACTCTATGTACTGAGTACCTACTGGGAAACATTGTATCTCCCCGGCCACAAACTGAACATCTACGCGTTTTGTGAGCATTTAATCTAGAAATGAGCATCGGCGTGGCAAATAACTGAGCTGTCTGTAAAGTAGCTTAGAAAACCAGTAGGATCGTTTTAAGAGTGAATTTTAACTAAACATGGTGACTTTCATGAATGTGGAACGTCGTCAAAAGGTGCATTCAGTTTGAAAAATACATTAGGAGCAGGAATATCGAAAACTTTTCATGTAATTAACTTTTATTTATGCATAAATTGTGCAGTGCGTTTTTTCTAACACTGGCCATAGAGATTCCCATCTCAAGGTGTCTACCCCATACTAACTTATATTTTGGTGACTCGATTTTTGCCTTGATGGTTGAACACTGTCATTGTTGTCCTTTTTTGTTGTATCGAGATGCTACTTGAGCATCAACTGTTACTTACTGAAGTATTAGTATCATCTAGAAAAACTAGAAATATTTTGATTTGATATTCGAGTAGATACTTCGTATTTCGAGTATGAGCATCTACTGAGTTTTATTTATATCAACCATTGTCAAAAAATTGATCGAACGTTGTTTCGACAGAACTTCCTTCGCACCAAAAGTATAATGAAACATATTCAGCATTTTCGAGTTGAGTCTTTTCTTCACACAATTTTGTGATGACCTAATCAACATTTACTATCAACACGTAGGTATACCACATTGGATTGGTGCAGTGTAGTACTAAAAATAACTGTATTGTATTCCCAAAATTATCTGCGAAAATCGAGTGAGCCATTCCATCAATTTTTGGGGGGGAATAAATAAATATTCTTAACAATTTACCATGCCTACAATAACTTTAAAACGTCTGCAAGATCTCAAAGTATTCATTTTTGCAACTCTTGAGTTATTCACTAAAATAAATTGACTGATCCATATATTTTTTTGAGTCACTGTAAAAGCAAATCTAAAAAATATGAATGCAGTGATAAATTACGAAAATATACTGATGATATTTTCCACATTTTAGATAGGATTTATTCGGCAAAATCTTGAGATGACGTCTTCAAGTTTTTGGGCTTGATAAACAGATATATTTTGATTGAAAACCTACCATGTCAAACAGTAACTTCAAAACGTCTGCAATATTTCAAAATTCAGTTTTGCAATTCTTGATTCAATCAATAAAATAAATTGACTCAGTGATTAATTTTTTTGAGACACCCCCTATAAGCAAAACTAAAAAATATGAATGGAATGATAAATCACAAGTATAGTCTCATCCTATTTTGGACATTTTAGATATGATTCATTTGGCAAAAGTTTGGGTTGACGCCATCAATTTTTTGGAGGGGATAAGTAAATATATTTTGAATAAAAATTTATTATGCTTATCATATGTTTAAAACATCTGCAAGATTTCAAAGCATTCGATTTTGCAGATTCAAAATTAAATTGTAGGTGAAACGGAGTTCACGGGGTCAGCTAGTAATATATATTTTTGACCTTACTGTCCATTTCTACGCTTTTGGTGCTACAATTTGTTTGAATTACTGACAAGTTCTTTAAACACAATGAACACTTCAGCAAATCAAAAAGTTAAAATAGTTAATAAACACTTGATTTTTCATTCATTAATTTTGAAAATTTGAAATTCAAGGCGGTAATCATATAAATTTAAAAATCTTTTAGGGGATTATTTCTCATACCAACAGAATGTCATTCTGACAGTGCGGGAGTTTTGCGAACGGATATTATGTTATTTATAAACAATATTCTTCTGAAATACTTTTACATCTTTCTGTTGACACAATGCCTTCGACAAAATTAACGTCTACTTCTAATTTAAAATTTAAAATAAAATACATGACGGCGTTGTCTATGTATGCTTACTATTAATTTATAACAAAAACATCGGCGCTGTATGGTATTTTCTCAGGCTTCTGTTGCCTTTTTTTAATATTTTGAATTTTGGTTAACCACCAAAACGTTCTGATTTTTTAATAAAGTTGTGTTAAAAATATATGAATTTTATGAACCGGTTCCGTGTTTAAGTTTGTGGGTAGTTTACAGCACCCTTAATCATTACCCATTGTGAAAGTGCACAGGGCCGGATTTGTGAAAGTGAAATTTTTCAGAAAAAATTTTTAAGAGCAGTGCGATACATATACATGCTCGTGACATAAAAATGTTTAAGTCACTATGTTGCATCTTCAAAAAAAAACGTATGAATTTTTTAAATAAAAAATAAAATGCCTAAAACGAGAGTCCATTTTCAGCGAAAACTATAACTCTTGAAAAATATCAAGGTGATCAAAGTAATTAGTCGTTTTTTACTTTTGCGGTTACCAACAATGCTGAGAATTTTCTTGGAATGAGTGCCCCATATTCCTGAATATATCTGTCTACCACTTACTTATTCTAAAAATTATTAAATTAACCTAAATACTACAGTGACTAAATAGTAAACACTAATCACTACAATGTTTGTCTAACTAAGTATGTAACTTTACACTGACAAATCACAAATAATAGGTTCGTAATGCTGTTCTGTCCATTTATACAAAATTTTGTTCCTCTAATGCCACAATACTTTCAAAATTTTCCTTTACATTTTCGATTGGCTTATTTTTTATTTTTACCTGAAAACCCAAAGAAGATGACATTAGTAACTGATAACCACAATGACTTTAAGGAATGCCTAACAACGGCTTTTGCGAAAATTCAGGTAAATATGTACTAAATTTATTATTGTTAAAATATTTCATAGGGGTGTATTTATCTAGGCAATTATACTAACTAATCGCGAATTTCATTAACTTTGTATTTTTTTATAATGTGAATATGTATTTTGTTCCATTTACGGAAGCGGCCACTGACCCTTTTGGGTATCTTTACCTGATATTGTAAATACAAATGTAAATTCAGTACTTCTGTAACCGTTCTGTATTTAAATATCGAAACCGAACGCTGTCTATTATTTCACACACAACAAAACAAAGGTCCTTCGAGCAATATCAAAGTACAATTCGGTACTCATCAAAACCGTACAATCATGGTCGTATCAACTGGATCACAAAAAACATTGGTACTACGAGCCGAGTTTCACAAAACATATTTCATTTTAAACAATATTGGGTTTATGTAATAAGCGATGCAATGTAATACGTAAAGTTGTTGTACGGTAATAAATAAAATCCGCACAGGAAAGATAAATGACACTAATTAGTGTGACTTTTAAAATCATTGTTTTTCTGCATTACGTCTTTTTAAATTGTTGGTGTTCAAATGATTCATACAATTTAACAGATTATTTGAATCTGTAATGTGAGAAAATATAAGTAGTAATAACAAACTAAGTTTATATGGCTGAACCATGTATAAACAAAAAAAGAAAATTTTGTAAAAAACGAGTGTCTAACATGATAAAGAAAATTCAACTGCAAAATATTTAACATAAAATTGTGTTTAAATTCTACGAGGAAGAGGCGAATATGAAAGTGTGTACCTGCCATCAGCTATTGCTATTATAATAAAAGGGATAATCCCCTGCCGAGTTCTCCGCCCTGACCAGGCTTCTTACTGACAAATACACGGCGGGGTTAAGAAACTAATGAAAGAATAAATATCTTTTTGAACGAGTACTGAATCATTTCTCAAATATTTTCAAATCCGACCTTGCACTTTACCAGGTACGTCAACAAACCCGATTCCCTTTGGGGTACCGGGAAGGTACTGAAAAACTACCTGCAAAGTTAAGTTCCAGACCAAAATACAAAAAAGACAAAATTCATATATTCACAACTTTACATCGCTGAAAATTTTACACAGATCTCCGACCCTTCTGCTGTCGTCATCCACTCTCTAAAATTACATATTTATGACATTAATTTTCTTACCTACCTTTCTATCGGCATTATGCAAGTACCTATAAGATATCCACAATCACAGATCAAAATATAACCTCACAGGAAACAAACACGATTTTACTATAAAAATACATCTAATCAAATAATTGAATTAATAACGTCAAGTATTTAACAGACCCTATTTTGAGATGTGAAAACTTCGTAAAATAGAGACTAAAGTATTTGAAATTTCCACTTTCATACTTCAAGTAATTCAAGAGTATTTAAAATACTGAGTGAAGTACTTGGAGTAAAGTACTTGGCAATATCAAGTACTAAACTCAAGTACATTTTAGAAATACTCCAAGTACCAAGTACCAAGTACCTAAATATAAAAGTACTTCAAGTAAAGTACTTGAAGTACTTAAAGTACTTGAAGTATTACTTCAAGTACTTTTACTTGAAGTACTGAACAGCTCTGCCATTGGATCGCATTTATCCAGAACTAATTCAAAGTATTTATCTTCAGGGTCGAGTAGGATATACAAGAGCTCAGCAAAATCCGTCTTTGTCATTTCCCTTGCAAACATAAATTCCACATCGTGTTCAAGAATTTTGTTGAATAGCGGCGATTTCTGCTTTGCAAGTATTAACAAAGTCTCAAACATGATGTCACAAGGTAAATGTACATCAAACGTGTACAAAAACAAAAGTTCTTGGACGAAATCAGTTTGTTTATATTCCACAGCAAGTTCAAATGCGTTGTATCCAAATGTATCGAATAGATCAGCCCCAAAACATAAAAAAGTAGCTATAATTTCATCGTTGTGGTGTGTTCTAGGATTAAGAAGTGAGTCCAGTAATGGAGTAGTGCCGCATTCGTCTTTGATGTTTACATTAATCCCTTTTTCTAATAATGAAAGTTTCGTTAATCTTGAAGAAGCGTGAACCAATCGATCCAGGTAAGCAGTTGACCAGTCGTCCACCTCTAAGGAAGCCCCTTTTTCGATCAATACCAAGGAGAAATAGTCATTTTCTTCACGGAAATGATTAATGGCGTATTTTAGTGCTGTTTCCCCGGAGGTGTTGCGAATCTCCAGATCATCCTTATCTTGTAGTTGTAATAATAAATAATCGAATAGATCTCTCCTGAAGCGAAGTTTGTGTCAAATGTGGGTATCTATATGTAACTTTGCTTATTTACCGATTGTGTCGTATAGCCTCCTGAAGTAAGGTAAAACCGGCTTCGTTTTTTTCTCTATTTAAGGACTTCGAAAAAAGCTTTGTGAAATAGTCAACATCGTTGTTTTTGATGGCTGTTGTCAAATCTTCAACGACTTGGGAAGAGTGCACTGGAAGAATTTTATTTTCGAAACTTTCCATTGCTGGACACTAAGAAACATCTCACATACACAAAACATATGATTGATATTTTATTTTTTCATTGTTTTATTATTATCACGTATCAATCTCATCAGTTTAATCACCTATCTATGTTTATGGAAGAGAAAGTAGATAAGTGACGACCACATAAGAAACATTCTTTACAACACGTCATATATATGTAGTAAATTAGAAAACAAGTTTCATAAGACTTTATTTTAAAGCACGAATTCCAAAATTGTAATAATAAGTTTTCTACTTCGCATTTTTTTTCTATTTTAAACTTAACATTGTAGATAATTTTTAAAATTTTGGAGAATCCAATCTTACAATTAACGTGTAAAATAATTGTTTATGTCATGTAAAAAATATCATTTCGTTTTTTTGACCTTTATTTTATTTGTGATTTGACAGTGACATTTGTAATGAATACCAGTCTTGAAAGCCTAAATTATATCATTTCTATTAAAGCCTTCAATTAAATCCCACGATCCTCGAGTACATGTTTAATACTGTGTTACGACTTGAATTTGAACATTTAGTCTCGAAGTGAGCCAAGCGTTTTCCGAGACCACTTTATATTGATTGTGATCGTATTGAACATGTGCCAGTTGTGTTTATTTTATATTTGTTTGTTAGATTTTGCGAAGACGGGGTAGTGTCTAATATGCGACAGGTCTTTTGGGAATAGACTATGATGCAGAACTTAAATTCGGTTCTTGCTACAACGTCTTCGGTAGCACGTTTGTTGATTTTAAATTTGATTTATTCGGTTGACTTTGCAAATCCAGAATATGAGAAACAAATAGGTATTTGGAGACAATATCGAGATTTTTCAATTTTAGAGATTTTGTTAGGCACTTAACAACCATGTGGAGAATAACTTTTGACAAGAAGCGATTCGTAAAGAAAAGGGCCACTTAATAATTTAGAAATTGCAACCAATTTCGCGTTTAAAACCCTAATAGTGTCTCATTTTAGGCGCCGTATTACACCCAGATAACATTAGGACAGCTCTATGGCAAAATTATGATAGACTTTGAAACATGACGTACGTATACAGAAAAACCCATTTTTAAAAACACCAAATGACAAGAACAACTGCCATTTAGGACGATATTTTAATTGACAAAATCCAGTCTACACGGACACGTGTAGACTTGCGAACTTCATAAGAAATTGTACATTTATTCAAATACCAACTTTTTTCGAAAATCGATTTTAATATCTGACAACATCGCCCCCGAATTGTGTCACGTTATATGCATTACCTTGAATTTTGTACGCTGTCGAAAGTTGGGAAAACTTCAAAATGTACAGAAAAAATTACCTAAATTCTCAAACTAATGGAAAGGTAGTCGTAAGAAGTACTGGAATAAACCCAGATTTTCTAAAATTAGCAAACCAGAGCCATACTTAATTAAAATTAACTGCACTAAATTCTCTTGGCTGCAGTAACACGTTTTGATTATTTATTGACTTATTTAGTTATTTATCCACAACCAGTCCATTATGAAGGCATAATTAAATAAATATAGATTTGTTATGGGACTCATAAACTACTACTGCTGCGTAATTTATAAGACGTTAGAGAAAAACTAGAAATAATTTATTAAATAACTTATTATTATTAATATTAATACTGACATTAACAGATACAACCTAATTTACTTGATCAATTCCACCTTGTCAATTTCATAATTCATTTTGAGGAGAGCAAAACGTAAAACACGTGAACGCGTGGATTGTCAAAAGTTGGATTCTCGCTCTTTCTGAAGATTTTAAATTGACCCTTCTTTGCAATATCGATTTTATTTCGTGTGAACCCTTCAGTGTATCCCTCGGGCAGATCTAACGACTTACCTCCACCATGTCGTTTGATGGCTATTTATATTGATCATCTAAATGACCGAAGAACGTCTCACAATGCGACCTGTGTGTGAATACGTTTTAGTAATTTCAGGAAAGCAGCTTTTCTCAAGGTCACTTTATATGTTGCATTATTTTTCTCGTTGTGCACAACATTTTTTAGGATTGTGAAATTCGAAGACATTAAAACTTATAATACAGTGTGCTTTTGAAATACATATACAAAAAAAATAATAACGGGTTTTGAGTCGATAAAAACAGTTTTAGGAAACACATTTTACGCAACGTCTCGTTTTTCTCTTTCAGTCATTTTTTTAAATCTTCTATATTTTCGCCTTGTAATACTTTGCTGACAAATTTAACCTCTTGGTACTTAGTGTTTTTTGGTAAAGTATCTTGTAGCTTTTTAAATGCCATTTCACCTACTTTCCCCAGGCTATCTTCCAATTGTTTATACAATTACTCTGCTATATCCACAGCAGACTGAGTTAAGCTCAATGGTTTCTAAGTTTTTAAGATGGTAATAGATATTTACATAAAAGTCAGGAAAATGTCTCATTACTGAAGAGGAGCTATGTTGAAATACGAGGCACTTTGTACCGAGTATTTTAAAGCTCCGAGTCAAATAAGGAAATAAGACATTTTACTGACGAGTTTTGTATTAAATTTTTCCGGAAATCGCAATAAATCGCTAAAAATCGAGATTTTCCAACAAGTTTTTTAATTAATTGCGCAAAAATCTAGTTTGTCAATTTCTTGAAAACGATGGTTACAAACAAAACAATTATAAAATTTTGTGCGTACGTCAGAGCAGAGTGTGTTTATTTCATTAATTAATTATGAATACAAGCGAAAACACTGGTGAGGATGTTCCTTTTGACCTAAGCAAAGCAGCCGCTGCTGCTACAGAAGAATTGTTACCGTCGAAATCTAAGGAGCGGTATGAAAAGCAGTTCCAAATCTTTGAAGATTGGCGCAGGCTTAAAAATGTTACTTCGCTAACGGAAGACGTATTTCTGGCTTATTTTGCGGAAAAATCAAGTTCTTATAAGGCTTCAAGCCTCTGGAGCACTTACTCTATGTTGAAAGCCGTGCTTTTGTTGAAGGAAAATTTGGATATCAGCAAGTTTTGTAAGGTAACTGCTTACCTAAAACGAAAATCGACTGGTTACCAACCAAAAAAATCGAAATGTTTGTCTCTGACCAGATAGATAAATTTCTGCTTGAAGCTCCCGACAAGGAATTTTTATTAATGAGAGTAAGTTATTACAATGATTACATATTTAAGTTTTATTAAATTTGGTAATTTCAGGTGGCGCTTATTTTTGGGGTGTCTGGAGCCTGTCGATGCGACGAATTATCAAGGATGTTAGTTGACGACATTGAAGATCAAAATAACGTGCTAATAGTACACATTCCTGATTCTAAAACAAAAAAACCTCGACGCTTTGTAGTTGTTGATGAAAGAAATCTTGCTACATACAGACGTTATTTGGAATTACGTTCGCCTAGTACTCCACACAAGCGCTTATTTTTAAATTACAAGAAAGGGAAATGTACGGTCCAACCAGTGGGCTTGCATTCATTTGGTAAATTTCCTTCTCAAATTGCTACCTACCTTGGTCTACCAACACCTCTGGAATACACAGGACATTGTATGCGGCGCAGTTCCGCGACTTTACTAGTAGACGCAGGAGGAGATGTTACCAACTTAAAAAGGCATGGAGGATGGCAAAGCAGTTCAGTAGCAGAAGGATACATAGAAGAGTCCATCGAAAATAAATTAGATATAGCTAATAAAATACAAGCTGGTCCGAAAAAAAGACCCTTCACTAATATCGAGACGTGTCCCTCTACAAGTAGTGATTCATCTGAAATCTGTTGCACCGAAATCTCGACTGAAATTTTTGATAAAAAGGTTAAACTTGATCATAAATCTCTGTCTGGAATTAACATTGCAAATATATCGAATTCTACAATTAACGTTAATATCTGTAAATAGTGTAATTTACGAAATTTTGAATAAATTTTTCTTGTTTAAATAACTAATTATTTTGCGTCATTTTTGTAGTTTTTACGGTACTAGTCAGGGAAATCCAATTTTCCTGCGCCTAATGTCGCAAGGAAATGCTGTTTCAATGACGATTTCCGGAAAAATACGTTTTTATATAGGGTCATCATAAAATACTCTAGTCAACTATGTAAAACAACTGAAAATTTTTTCGTGCCGCTAATCACCAAAATGATTTGAACTTTTTGAAATGTCAAAACGTCAAAAAATCTGTCAAATGTGTCAAAAATTGAAATGCCAGGTTTGCGGTTTAATTTCATTTTAAATAGACACGACAATACGCGAGAGCATTAGGGGTTGCAGTGTTATCGAGCATCTGTGAACGCTACTGCAATACATTTGACCTTCAAAAATTCTAAATTATCAGAAAAGCGTTGATATAGAAGCGGGAAATTAGCTTTTGTGAAATTATAAGGCATAGAATGCCCAGGCGGTTCAAAATTTCTGTATCGAGTAGCAGAAACTGGAATTACAACATTTAGAGCAGAATGAAATTTATCTTCGCCTACAATGTCACCTAACAATTACTTATGTTTGTATAAACTAAATCTAACAACCTACCCCGTGAGTTTAATATTTGATTATATTGAATAATTTTTAAGAATTCAGCTCAATTATGAAACAGTCTACTAAATTGACTACCTAAACTTATAGGTTCCACAAAACCTAGAAAATTAAAATCCCCAATTGTCACAATTGTAGTAAAATTTATACATAATTCGTTAAATCAGTCTAAAAATAATTCATAATCAAAATAAGAAACATTAGGTGGAATGTACAAACAAACAATATAAATTCTACCTCTATCTAATATGTGAAATAGAAGAAGTATGAATTGGAACACTGCTGAAGTAATTTTTTATGGCCAAGAGTACACCCCCACCTTTAGATAGACCAATTTCTAAAATCTCACGGTCGGGTCGATATATATTCATGTCTGAACACAATTCAGAATCATCAATATCTCAATTTAACCACGTTTTTGACAAACATATTATATCAACATCGCAATGAAGACTATAAAAAAAGTTCATTATGTTTAGTCCTAAGTCCGCGCACATTTTGGTAATAAATAAACT